CCTTCCGCACTTACGAATCGTCTACGGCATTGAAACACTGCCGTTTTTTATAAGGGCATTCGCTAGTTATTGCATGGAAAGGAAGCAAGTGTCGCTACTATTTGCATGAAAACATGCGTGGCGCATCCCGAAATCCCCAAAAGGAATCGATCCACATAATCACTTTCCTCCCTTTAGGGAAGGGAACTAAGTGTTTCCTGATGCTGTGCAGTGTGCACCGCGAGGAAATCCGAGCATGTACTGGCGTTGTGGAGAAATATTTCGGAATCGACTTCTCCCGTTTCGCTCTCCTCACGAAAAGAACTTCCCCCATCCCCTTCGCTCCAATCCTATCTATCCTGGTATCCTACCAATTTCCTGGAAATTTCGCTAGCGAACGAGTGAAAGACGGATTGAGGGTCACTCTTGATCAAGTAATACCTTCGCGGAGCCACCAGCTGAACTGGATGAAGTACATACGCCGCCGAACAGGATGTCATCAACAACAATGAAAAAGTTTTCGCAAATGAAATAGGATCCTTTCTTCCGCGCCCAATCCCCTCCAGCGACCAAATGCGACTCTCCGTAGGGGGTTCCCCAAAGTTCCACATACATGCCTCGAGCTTCTGTAGTGGAGGTTGCACATCTCATTCAGCTCAACGGACTCGATTAAAGGCACGTTCCGCGATAAACTAAGGCTAGGTTCTCATAACTGTGCATGATCGTCGCACGATGGTCAAGCAGGCAACGTCAGAGGCTATGCTGCTTTTAAAGTTGAAAAACAGCAAGCAAAACGCAGGGCGCTCAGGTTTTAGGCCCATTTGCGCCCGATAGGCCCATGCCGGCCTCCAGTGACCGTGTCGTTGTGAGACTGCCATTGCGCTCTCTCGCCCGTCGTTTTCTGGCCTCTCTCGTCTCTTATCAGTGTATCGCCGCCTTTCGCAATTCACAATTGATCTTGACCACCTTACGCTCGTCCGGTGATCATGATCAATTGCAATAAAGAGGGTCTTATTCCGGGCGCTTTTTCTTCCTTCTTCTTCTTCAATAAGTCAACAACACACGACAATTCTATTTTTGAACTGTATTGCCTATGAAGTGTAGGAATTGCGCTTAAGGAAGAAAACTGGGACAAGTATAACACCAAATCTCGTTAAATTCTCAGTGAAAGACTATCCGATGGGAAAGGTAGGACTTCAGCAGGTTTGAGATCCCGAAAGGGAGAGCTAGCCTCAGATACAAAAGGTACGATCAATCTAATGAGCTGCTGAAGGGAACGCTCACCTCGCCAGTCCTGAATCACTTCGCGAGCCACTCATAAGCTTCTTGCGAGCTTGAAGACGGGGTGGCTGACCGGGCTTTCTCAGCACGGGCTTTTCAGGTCGAGCAGCTAAATTCGGCTCCTGAAATTTCAATTAAATCGATGTTTTTCGACTATTTGGAGGAATCTCCTCAAAATTTGAACGAAAATTGTGCTTGGACATAGCCTTAGCTGAGTTTAAGCAGCATTACCAAATATGAAGATTACAAAAGAATAAAAAATAAAGAAAATAAGAAGAAAGGAGTCTAACCTTTGCCTCTATGCCAACATATCCTTCAAGAAGAATACTGGCTTCAACGGAAGTAGGCTCAGACGTAAACGATGGACTATCCATGTCAGCAGGGGTTTCTAAACATCGAAACTCCTTGATCGCTGACTGTAGAGACAAAATTCCTGGAGTACGTCTGAGGACTGCAAAGCCTCCCAACGAAACTATTTGACCAGCAACTGCTTAGACGAAGGAAAAGTCAATAAGTGGGCGAACGAAAATACAATCAATCGCGAAGCTTTCTCTTAGTTTATTTGCTGTGAAAACACCCAGATGTGATGGATGAGAGAAAATCTCAAATTACTCCTTCCCGACTGTGAATCATCCACGTCTGCTATTGTTGCACGGAATCCCCGTAGATAAGTCAATTTTCGGCACTGTTAAACTACTTCGACCGACAATCTGATTAAGGTAAGATTTTTATGGAATGTTCGGTGCTCAGAGTACGACTATGAAGTGGAGTTTTGGCGTCTATTGGTGCCTAGTTGACGTCATATCTGGCGCTGTTTGTCGACGGGGGGCATTTTGTACTACCATTGCTTCCAGTTCCGGTTTACAAATCTCACCCTGGTAAAACTTGTGAACCCTTGTGAAGCTGGTGCAAGATCGTCTAGCCACCATCCTAAAACGTGTCAACTCGAGAAAAGGCTACCTAGATGGGTCGGCACATCTATGGAAAGCAGAATGCCCCCCCCGACAAACTGCGCCTCCATATCTTTTTTTAACAACCTCTCTATAAGTTTGCATTGAGGGACAATCGAAAAAGTGATTACAACTACGCCGTCCATTTTTCGACGCCGACCCCCTTTGGTGTTAGATTGCCAGGGCTAACATAGGAAAGGGGGATGGACGCCGGAAGAGCACCGCACTGTCCATGGCGGTCTGTGCACTGAGCCTGAACCTGTAGAATGGCACCACCAGCGAAAGCAAAGTGGAGCTGGAGCCGAGAAATGAATGGCCCGTCCCTGATCTTGACGTTCAATGACCTCCAAATGCGTGGTCGAGGCGAATTATTATTGAAAAAAAGCCGAGGCGGCAAATTGGAGTCTGGTGACATCAAACGGCGCCGCTGTAACGATCTCCAAGTACTGATACCCCCTAAACCAGAAGTTCGGGTGAACTGACTCCGGCATTTTGTTGTTTTCGGAACTTCGGAAACAAAAAAGTCGGTTGAAACTGAGAGTTTCCCACGCATTTCTTTTCCCTGGCGTACTTCTCAAATAGGGTAAGGCTGGTTCCGCCACACAATTACATTAGATCTTCATGCTTTAATGAAATTCAATCGACTTCATTCGATTTCCTAACGTTTTCGATGGTAAAAGGCACTTACCCTCATCTACTATTTGGCTGCCGTCTTGTAATAATGTACTTTCGTCGATAGGATGTTCGGCGAAAAGCTGGGGAATAACAAAATCAGTTTGAATCCTGCTCGCTGCGGAAGGTGGGAATTCAACTGGCCTCAAACTAAACAAAAGATGGATAAGTAACTGTTGATATTCGAAGGTAAATTTCTCGAGAGCATTCGGTGGAACCAGTGAAAGTGCTTAATTGTTTGGTTTCACTAAAAAATGAAATTGAAGACTACCTTGCAGATGATGATTGAGGGATACTGTCGGCTGTGTGGCTGTCGGAGGCTCTTTCCGATCCAGCAAGATCTAGAAAAGCGATTGGAATCTCACCATCAATGTTCATTCCTACTGAATCATCAGTTTTGCTGGCAGAAATGGCAAACAAAGAGAAGATATGCAATGGTTTGAATAAAGGTGAGGGGTCAGTGTTTCTAGGTCGTCCTGAAGTTTCTTAACAGTCTTAACACGATAAAGAACCGTGTGCATCGATTTCAATGCACCTTCTCTAGACTGATTCCTTTAGTTGCGCGTAGACAAAATGCTTTCGTCAAAAAGTACTGGTAATGGATAAACTGGTTCTGACGGTTGCTGCGTTCAGTGTGTTGAATTGCTAACAACACCCGCATGAGTACCCAAACAGAGTGGCAGATAAAAAACTTGGAACAAGCTAAAGTCGCGCGCTTTGTAATGGTTTTGTAAATTTTCAAAACTGCACATAGAAAGCTTGTTCTTTAATTATTTCTGACCGGATTTTCTAAAAAAAGACCAAATTGGTGGGCCGTTGTCGGGACAGAATGGCAAACAGTTTCACAATATGGCAGGCCACTACCATGTTGACACAGATTCCATGTGAAAATTGTAAAGTTTTGGAATGTAACAGAGGACTGTGAATCGTAATAGAGGAAGTAGAAGGAAAAAGGAAAAATGCCCATACAGACTCGACCCGTTGTTCAATAAAAAAAAGTGAGAATAACTCCTGACTGCCGACCATGTCGTCGCATAGGCCGAAGGACACCGCAGTGCTGTGATGATTGGTAGAACGGCACGAAACGTACGCTATTCAAAAAATTTCAAGGGGTATTGTTCCCACCGTTGATGAATATTTTTGTGGATGCGACATTCCCCGCCGATGAACAAGAAAGTCTCTCCACTCATCTGTACAAATTTGGTACCAATTAGTTATCGAGCACCCCACCCTGGAGGGATGGGGAGCTCACTGGGGGGGGGGGTTACGTGACAACTAAAACTTTTGGTGGCGGTCCTGCCACGATAGGCCAGAGCGCAGAGCAATAAGGGACTGCTACTGCCAAGGCATCGTGAGGTACAAAAACACGATGCAGGCCAGGAGATGAGTCCTTTTCGAGGGAAGTGACACCGGGTGGATGAGCCACTTAGTATACGTGAAAAGTTGGAATGCGAAAGGTCAAAGTGGCATAAATCGCCATTCAGGCAAGAGAGCGCAGAGAAGAACAGTAAAGTTGGCGCCATTAAAGGGATTGAGTTTTAGTTGTCCGTAGACCGGGGGGGGGGGAAGGGAGGAGGGGCAGCTGAGCCGGAACCCGACCTCCAGACCGCGCTTGAGATAAGTTTCGCCACCCTTCTTTATACCATCTGCTACTGACAGAACTATAAACGTTACAGCGCCAGTTCTTTCCCGTTGAACATACTTTTCTTAATACGCATTCTACTTCCATTAAGAATCGTAGTGGCTCATTCAGTGCAATATGGCATATAGTGACTTGCGGGGCCCGGCCGTTGTACAAGTCTCCAGTGTTTTTATCCTCCCAGACGAATCTGGTACCAATTTACCGTCCCCATAAGTATAAGGCTTGGCTTGCCTGGGGGGGGGGAGGTAGGACCAATTCGGTATGATCCGGGACCACCACGACATTAATGGGCGCCAGAAATTTTCTCTGTATTTCCTTATCATTAACCGTGACTGGCTGGTTAATAAACAAGTTAGTGAAGCATAGGTAGAAGTACAGATGTCCTTCCGAAGAGCTATATTTCATATAACTACTATTTACTACCTACTCCAACTTAGTAAACTGCCTAAGTGCAGCCTTTGAATGACAGACACAGAGATAATGGCTCTATTATTGGCCAATATTATGAAGACATTGGTCCAAAATCCCACGTAATTGAGGCAATATACGTAAAACCGGAAGTATAAACGAGGAAGCCGCAAAGAGCAAGCGTTATGGGTGTTTATGATGGCGGCCGGGGGCGAATGGGGGAGCAAGAACTGACACAAGAGACTTGAATATTAATGAAGTTGAGAGCATGAACGTCCATAAAAACTTCAGGAAGCCAAGCTTGAATGTTTTAAGGCGTTGAACCTGACACAAGGAAGGAAGTGACAGGAAATTGCGAAGCAGCTCCAGAGGAAAACAGCGCGATGGAGCTGATGAGGATGATATTTTTCGACACTTCAGCATGCTATGGCGGAGTCATGGGGAATGTGACATCTTTACGACAACAGGTGGAATGTTGTTGACAGAAATAGGAAATGTTCACGCGCTCTTAGCCAACTGCTGTGTCAGCCATGGATTCAAGACGACGATCAGGCAAACAGCAAAACGATTGGTGCTATCACCGTCAACTAGCCTATAAAGAATCGGTTGAGAAAATGCTGAAGGACTGGTGACAGTTACTCAAACCACTTAACAAGACCAGGTGATATGGTTGAGAGATGAGGAAGTGACGACAAGAAGTCGCTTATCAGTCTCTCACTTCTTAACAATTGTCACGGAAACCCTCTTGAAACCCACGGTTTACACGTCGAGCAGAGATAATGAGCTGAAAACAAATACTTTTCGCTGACTACACGAAAAGCTACTGACTAATCTACAAGGTTCAACTCAATAAAATTCCGATATGAAACATGAATGTAGAGCGTATTGTATGTACCAGTTGTTGCATGGTGTTCGCCAATAATCCTTCTATGAATTGCAAAACAGTATCGAACCTCCGAGGTATTTCAGTAGCCCTCTGCTTACAACCTTTTTTCCATTCACTGACTGCGGTCGCGCGATAACGCGTGCAAGTTAGAGGGTTGTGACAAAAGAATCGTAATTCACCGCGCTGGTGGGCGCCGCGTGCGACGTCGCGCCCGCAATTACGATGGTTGCAGGTAGGAGATGGCGAAAACAGGCAATTCAATACCGAAAATAGCGATGAATGTCTACGATGATGGGGTCTACATGACTACATGAAGTCCTATGCTCCAATAGACAGGTTTACAAGAGTTAAGAAAACGCCGCGCTGCGGAGCGGCAAATTACGATTCTCTTGCGCGCCTCCCCAAATAGACAGGGCGACGTTGTTTTTTGCATATGCGATGACATCACTCGCATGGACAAAAACAAATAGGAAACACAAGAAATGAAAGAGAACGCATTTACGGCGTTCGAGGCGGAGTGCGCCCCACTCCAGAAAAGAGGTTTTACTAGTGAAGTATGATGAGCTCTTCACATAAGTTTGTGCCCTTTCCAACATAGGATTCACTGACTGCGTTTTTACTACGACAACGATGGTGTTTTTGTTATGATATGGTTGTTATGACGCCTTTTCCAAGAACTAGAACTCTCTATTGTTTTACCCTCCTAGCTATCACACAGCGTCAAGCTCCAGCCTAGCGAAAGCCATGTATACACAGCTATGGTATGCACAGCTGGTGGTTACCACTGGAATCTGGGGCGCCTGTGCGGTGCGTGGATTTTGGCGCAGCGCCACTCCGTTTTCTAGTGATCGCTGCGGCTTCAGGGGTTCAATGAGTGGGTGAAAGGGCCTCTCGCCGCGCCAAAAATCCACAGCGCGCTGACACTCGGTGTGCCAGTGTAAGATATGAATGAAAAAATTCTTTCTATTCAAACTACAGTCATAATCCCTAAAGAGTCACAATCCATGTAAACGAGAGAGGTGTGAAGAAGCGTGGATTGGAGAGACACGGCAGCAGTTTCCGCCGGCCGGAGCAGGCTCAGGATGCCATCAATCGGTGGAAAAGACCTGGCTGCGCTCTCATCCGTCCCCCCTCACACGTCTTCTCGTTTGTAAATCACGACGCATGTTCAGCTGGAAGAAAAACGCCTCCACTATCAGTTGTCCGAGGCTTGTCAGTTAGTTGGTATTAGGCTTGCGTGTGCGTGAAAAGCTCTGAATTGTATGTGGTCCCCGTAATACTGTCATGGAGAAAATTTCAAACAAAAACACTTGCTCGATTTTAAAAGGAAGTCAGATGATGTGCGATTTGTAACGGGTAAACTGTGAAATCTTCAGCGTTGTAAAATCTCTTTCAGGACGTGTCATCCATTTCACTTCCATTCATAGTGATAATGGCATTTTGAAATGCATTCTAACCTAAACATCATTATGCGCGGCCCAGTCAATGTAGAAGTTAGCGTTTGTTTCTCTGAGAAGATCCTGGAACATGGCAGTTCCGGAAGGGTAGGCTTGGTCGGTTTGGGCGAGAGTCGATGCGAGATTTGATCCCCAGGCAGCGAACGTTGATAGCGTTGTCACTTATCATTCTACCCTGCACTCTGATGCACACGTTATACAAATATGTGAATACATTTCAAATGGAGATGATGGTGTCGCGGCATGTGGCCCGTTGACCAGGCACACGTTGTGATCATTTCCTGAAAAATACGACCCCTCCCCAAATTCCATCCTCAAATACGACCCCCCCTCCCCATGCTACCTACCACTTTCCTAGATTTTCCCAACTTCCTACCACTTTTTCCATTTTTTCCCGAAAAATTTCCAGTTTTTCAGCCAAGAATTTTCCGTCGAGCGGAGGGGGGGTATACCCAATGTGAAACAGGAAAATTTCTCAGATTTTCCCTAACCTCCTACCAGTTTTTCCGAAATTTCCGAAAAATTTCTGGTTTTTCCCCAAAATTTTGCTGTCGAGCGGGGGAGGAGGGGCGAGGTCGTCAGGATTTATTTATCATTTTCAACTGTCGGAAATAGTAGTTGCATAGACCTTTGGCTGTCCTCTCCCAACAACGACCAAATGCGACCCCCCTTTATAGTGTCCGTGAAACAAGAGAAATTATCAAAAAAAATTCTTCTCTGACTTAATACGGCCTCCCTCCTCCCTCACGGTCAAATACGACCCCCCCCCCCCCCCCCCCCGTTGTGATCATCACAACAATGGCATGCCCTGCCGTTGACCACGCGTTCGCACCAAGGGCCACATCTGCCCACGTCAACTAAGCCTTCTACCCTCCGGGACAGGGGAACTGGTACTGTGAAACTCTGACTTGTACATCCTGGCCCACCAAGTCAGTTAGTAGTTCGCCATATCACATCAATAGCCACTACGATGCTGAACTGAGAT